GATCTTATACGGAATGTTCCTTAGTTGAGGGTGCATGGAAGCCCATGTGTACCTCTAACATAAATTCAACCTAGCATGGTGGCAGTTTGGTAAAAACACAAACGCTGTTTCTGCTTGGGTTGCAAGTGCCTGAGAAGCGCCTGTGCCCGAGCCCCCTGATGCATTCTTGACACCCTCGTCTCTTCACCCTCGTCTCTTCACCCTCCCAAGCTGCACACTCCCCTTGCAAGACCTGAACCCAACGCCCTGAGGCCCTAACCCTGCAACCCTCAACCCCAAACCCTAGACCCTAAACCCTAAACCCTAAACCCTAAATTCACCTTCCGAGGCTTGGCTACTCTCCATCCCCGGCCATCCTCGGGGAGGCCTCTCTTAGGTTGTTCGGAGGGGCTTGAGGGTTTCAGGGTTTAGGGTTTAGGGTTGAGGGTTTAGGGTTTAGGGTTTAGGGTTTGAGGGTGAGGGTTGAGGGTTTAGGGTTCAGGGTCTCGGCGCGACAGGCAACTGAGGGTTCAGGGTCTGGGGGTTAGGGTCCAAAAGGAGGCTCGTGGGTATCTACGCGGAATGACCGTGCGGAGCACTCAAGACGGGAACTTAAAGCAAACAACTCGCACATGCACAGTGCTTGCAACCCAGCTGTGTTAGTCTGAGGGTCAAAGGGCACACCCATCAGCGAGCCCAGATGCAAGAGGGTTTTGGGGCTTCGGGTTGTAAGACTGATGCTAGTCATAACAAGTGGAGGTTTGGGAGCTCTTTGTGGGCGCGGGGCCGGCCTTGGAAGGGCTACGGGGTGCTTGGCATTCGGCTGTGCGTGAGTTGTAGTTGAGAAGGCCACGCTGAACCACCCAAACCCGACACCCCTCAACACCCTCTCAAACACTCCAGAGACAACCCTCCTTGTGCCAGGCGTTGCAGCTCCCCAGCGATTCTACAGGCAGGTTATACAGGGGCCGTGTGGTATGAGTGTGGTGTTCCAGAGTCTGAGATGTCTTGATGTTGAGGGCAGCCAGCCGCGCCAGGTGATGGCCAAAGCGACATCTACGGCATCTTGTCCATCCTTCGTTACCTTAGAGCCTCTTGGCTGCCCTAAACCCTAAACCCTAAACCCTGAACCCTAAACCCTGAACCCTGAAGCCTGAAGCCCTAAACCCTAAACCCTGAAGCCCTAAACCCTAAACCCTAAACCCTGAACCCTAAATTCTAAAGGAGGCCAAGTCTCTTGTGCCTCGTGTTCACTTCGAGCCTTCACAAGGTGATGCACCTCACGGGGATTTCCACGCATGTTCAGCCGTGCTCATCTGTCAAACCTCAAATTGGCACAGGCAGTGGCCGCCCCAATCCAAAGATCTTCTGGGGTCAGGGGGCGTCTTCTTTTGTTTTGCCAGAATGATCCATGGAAGCCACGTGAAGCCAACCTTTAGCTATCCTAGGCATAACCGATACTTACAGTCACCCGAACGAACCTCCAAAGTGGCCAAGGAGAGTCAGGTGGGGGGCCTCGGAACTGGGCCCATTTCGTCCTGGAGGGGTTGCTCTTCGAGGGTTTTCTTTCCGGTAAGGGGGGGGTGTTACGGGTTTTTTAGGGCGCCAGCATATGACAAAACAAGGAATAATGTGTGCTGAACAAGATATTAGGGCGGACTTCGTCGGTTGAAGTATGGGGTCGCCAAAGGATGTCAGATGGAGACGAGAGAACAAGGCACCTTGTTCTTAAGGTTCCTTACATTCCAGTTTCGAGTTTAGGGTTTCGGGTTCACGCGTGCAAAAGTTCAAGACTCTTGCCATCGTTCGTATTGCGCTCTATACGAACTCCATGACCATCATATTTCGAACTTAGGCAAATCCTGACAACCCAATACCCTTTGTTACGGAATCTTCCTTTAACTTGTTACATGTCATAGTGCCCCTTATGTGATTTTTGGAGCATTCTTCCGCTTTAAGGGGTTGTGGGAACGCTGTCGCGAGGTGAAGAAGCTGCGGCAATCCGCAGGCTTATCTGATCAGCAGGCCTCTGTCTCTCTGTCTCTCTGTCTCTCTGTCTCTCTGTCTCTCTGTCTCTCTGTCTCTCTGTCTCTCTGTCTCTCTGTCTCTCTGTCTCTCTGTCTCTCTGTCTCTCTGTCTCTCTGTCTCTCTGTCTCTCTGTCTCTCTGTCTCTCTGTCTCTCTGTCTCTCTGTCTCTCTGTCTCTCTGTCTCTCTGTCTCTCTGTCTCTCTGTCTCTCTGTCTCTCTGTCTCTCTGTCTCTCTGCCTTTTTGGGTGAGGAGCTTTAGGACAGGGCCGTCAATCAGGAAGAGTCGGTGTTGGGGTCCGAGCTTTCACATTTCTTCTTTTGCTCTCTCCTTCTCTTTCCCTCTCTATCTCTCTATGTCAATCTCTCTCTGCACAGCATGGCTGCATTTTGATCTCAAGCTTGCGGCAATGTCATTTGCTTTGTTGGCGCCGGAGGTTTTGGTTCTTGAGTAGCGCTGCTGCTATGCTTCGTGTTTGACACAAGCTGGGCATGTTTTCGTCTGCTCTTGAGGGCTGGCGGTGAGGGGTGAAGTAGGAGGGCACCTTTCCAATCGAGATTTTATCAAAGGAGCAACGAAGCAAGCGCGAGGATACGGACTCTGCAAGCTTTATCCCAACCCCTCGAACCTCCAAGTCCCTACTTGGTATGAAGGTACCACGATAGCCATAAACACCGAAACCCTAGAACCCTACATCCCAAAACCTCCGCCTTCGGAGGTGGCGAAGATCCGATCCAAGTTCGGCCTCAAGCTCGAGGCCGCCGCTTTGAATGTGCGATTTTGTGCTTCCACTTGGGCTTTCGGGGCTCTTGGGGGTCTTGGGGCTCTTGGGGAGTCCAACCGCGTGTTGTTGTCGGAACGTATTCTTCTAAATAGACAAGAAAAGCTATATATGCATATATCTCTCTTTCTTTCTCTGTCTCTCTGGTTTGATTTGCCTCTCTCCCTCTCTCTCTCTCTCTCTCTCTCTCTCTCTCTCTCTCTCTCTCTCTCTCTCTTTCGCCCCATAGATATGTATGTAAAAGTGAGCTTACACGCACCAGAAACACTTCACATACATACGTATACATATGTGTATACACACATATATATATACATATATATATAAATGTATGTATATATATATATACATACATACATACATACATACATACACACATATATATATATATATATGTGTGTGTGTGTGTGATATATATATATATATATGTGTGTGTGTGTGTGTGTGTGTGTGTGTGTCTGTGTGTGTGTGTGTGTTGTGTGTGTGTGTGTGTGCGTGTGTGTGTCTGTGTGTGTGTGTGTGTGTGTCTGTCTGTCTGTCTGTGTGTGTGTGTGTGTGTGTGTCTGTGTGTCTGTGTGTCTGTGTGTCTGTGTGTCTGCGTGTCTGCGTGTCTGTGTGTCTGTGTGTCTGTCTGCGTGTCTGCGTGTCTGCGTGTCTGCGTGTCTCTGTGTGTGCTTAAATGTATGTATTCGTGCCCCAATTGTGGGAGGCTGGAAAGCGCGTTGAGCCGCAGGAGTTCGAGCGCCGGCCTCAGGGGAGAGAATTCTGACTTAAGCCTTAGGATTTAGGGTTTAGGGTTTTTGTTTAGGGTTGAGGGTTGAGGGTTTAGGGTTCGGTGCGCGGATTTCGGAGGGCTTGAGGATTGCTTGATGCTTGCGCCGGCCGCAGGCGCTTCATGTACGATCTCTTCAAGTCTGCGAAGCACACGCAGGCGTGCAGAAGCAAAGTGGGGGAATGAGGTGCCTTATATAATCCCTTAAAGCGTATCTATGGGGCCCTAACTCCCTCATTCCTTCCTAGCCAACAGTTAGATGACTCGGCTTGCGTAGGGAGGGGGGTTCTGGTGAGGCGGCGCAGCAGAAGATCCAGGAGCTCATCCAGGCTCCTCCAACACCCGCTGTTTTGAGAATCCAGGATGTCGGCTCTTTTCGTTTTCGACGCTTTGAAGGTTGAGAGTTGCAACCTAAACCCGAGCTGCAACCCCAAACCCCTGAACTCCTAAAACCTGAAAGGCCCATATGAGAAGCCCTGAACCCTAAACCCCAAACCCCCAAACCTCTGAACCCCTAAAACAGAGTTTAGGGAATTGAGGAATTAGGTGCGCCCTATCTAATCCCTTAGAGTGCTACATAAAAGGGTACACTAAACCCTAAACCCTAAACCCCAAACCCCATACCCTAAACCCTAAACCCTCTAAACCCTAAACCCTAAACCCTAAACCCCAAAGCCTGCCTTAGTCCTTTTGCGTCCTTTTGTTTTGGGGGGGAGGAGAATCTGGTGGATGGCAGCCTCGGCCTGGCGGAGATGTTCTGGGTGGTGCGGCTGCCGGGGCCCCAGGAGGGGGAGGTATGGGGGTTTGGGGTTGAGGGTTGAGGTTCAAAAGGTGCTCATCATGGGGTTCGTTTGAGGTTTAGGGCTCGGGATTGCACAAGTCTGATGCAAAAAACAGGTGTCCATGTTGTGCATGACGTGGCCTGGGGTGCAGACGGTCGGGAATAGGATCAGTCTCCATGCGCTTGCGGACCTACATACGTGCTTCAAACCCTGGCCCAGGTACGATGATGCGCGATCTGAGGACTTATGCTACCCTCACCCCCCTTCCCTCCCCCCCGCCCTCCTTGCAGGTTAGGGCTCAGGGCTCCTGAGCAAAGGCTGAGGACTGCCTAAAAGCCACCAGACGTGCTTCTCTGCACCCAACGAGTCAACGCCACCCCCCCCCCCCCCCCCCTCTAAGAACATCGGCACGCCCGCCGCGAGGAAGCCTGGGCCAAGGAGGACCACATCGTCAAGGAGGCCCTTGGGGCGTTTTGAGCGGGGGAAAAGGGGGGGTGTTTGAGGACTTGTGGAGTCCTTCGGAGCTCTTGGGGCCTTAGAGATGCGTTGGGCGCCGAAAGCCCCAAACCCCAAACCCCAAACCCCAATGGCTACGGCTACGGCGGCAAGCTTTGGCTCAAAGTCACACGATCCCCTTAACTACCATCCGTGAACGAAGCAATGGCAGCTGTGACGGAGAGCCTGAGCTCGTCCTCTGCTGCCTGGTGTGCGTTCTACGGTGCCGGAATCATTTGCACCCTGGTCGTCTATGGCATCCTCCAGGAAGGCATCATGACTGTGGCTTATGACGGAAGCCTCTTCAGATACTCCGTTTTCATGGTGCTGTGCAATCGGCTGGCGGCGGTGGTCTTCGCGGTGTCCATGGCAGCCGCAAAGGGCGAGTCCATGAGAAACGAGGCGCCCCTATGGAAATACCTCATCGTCTCTCTTTCCAATGTCTACGCCAGCTCGTGCCAGTACGAGGCCTTGAAGTACGTGTCCTTTGCAGTGCAGATGCTGGGGAAGAGCTTCAAGATGATGCCTGTCATGATCTGGGGCATGATCATCTCCGGAAAGTCCTACAGTGTAAGGGACTGGGTCGTGGCCCTTTCCGTCACGCTGGGCTGCACGGAGTTCCTGATGACAGGTCCAACACACTCCAGGGTGGATGCCAACAACAGCTTCAAGGGCTTCGTGTTGCTAGGCGGCTTCCTTGCCCTCGACGGCCTCACGTCAACATTTCAAGAGAAGCTCTTCAAGGAGCACAAGACCACCAAGTACAACCAGATGTTGTACATCAACCTCCTGTCGGCCACCGTCTCTATGGTCACGCTCTTGGTGACTGGAGAGATGTGGCCAGCAGCCGCCTTTGGCTTTGCGCACCCGCGCTTTTGGCTGGACTGCGGCATGCTGAGCGCGTCGGCGGTGGCGAGCCAGTTCTTCATCTACTCGCAGATTAAGGAGTTTGGTGCCTTGGTCTTTGCGGCGACGATGAACGTCCGCCAGGTTGTGTCCATCTTGGTCTCCTACGTCAAGTATCACAATCCTGTGACGCACTTGCAGGTTCTGGGCCTGTGCGTCATCTTCTCCGCCCTCTTCTACAAGTCGATCGCCGCTATGCTGACGGCACCCAGCAAGGAGGAGAAGATGCCGATTCTCGCAGCGAAGGCCACGGAGCCTGCGGCGGACAATGATGCCAGCAAAGCCGTGTAAGTCTAACCGTTGAGTTGGCCAGGCTGCACGAGGTGGGCCGAGTTTCTTCTTAAGTGCTTTAGACGCCTCTGGCGGTTCAGGGCAGACTCCCTCAATCTTCTATGGGGGTGCCTGCCCCTGGAATCATTTTGGCAGCACGAGCTGCTAGTGCAATCAACGGTTGCCATAGGCAACTGCCTGCGCTATCGAGCTCCCCATTGCGCACTCCGTTCTTTAGCCGGGGAATGTTGCAATCCACACCTGGCATAGGAAGGTCCCTGTCGTGGCGACTGACACCAGCAAAGTGGTCCTGCAGCTGCTCGGATTTTCGTGCGGGGCGCATCGCTGCACACAAAAAGCTGCGTGGGCCCTCACAAGAACCATGGGACAGCCAAGGTTAGATCCTGCCACATGGGGACAGTTCCCTGCAAGGGCACCCCTGACCCCAGCATGTCTAGGGATTGTCGCAGAACTTGTCCCATTCCCCCACTTAGAGGTTTGAGCATGGGCACCTCTCTACGAAGAATTCAAAACTTACACTCGGAGCTGGTGCAGATGCAGGGCCCTCTATACTGGCCCAGCAGAACCCTACATGACCTCCGACGTAGCCCAGACAAACCCGATACAACCCAGAAGAAACCTAAACTCATCTAAACTCTAAACCCCAAACCCTAAACCCCAAACCCTAACCCCTAAACCCTAAAAACCCCAAACCCTAAACCGTGGAAGCTCGCAGTCACCAGCTCCTGTGTTGCCAGGCTGGCTTCACCTCTGCTCAGGCTCCTCCAGCTGGTTCCGGAAGGTTTCGGTTGGTGGGGGGCATGGGGCAGCTTTCGCCCCGGGAGTGAAGCTCTTTGAAGCAACAAGGGGAGTACTTGTGGGTGCCTGTGGTTATGCACACCCCGAACCTCCAAAGAATGCTTCTAAGGCCACCATTCACTGACTCAGCGGGCTGTGGGCACTGGGGGTGGCCGTGGCTCTGTGGCTCTGGTCTGTGTTCTTGACGTGTTTCCAGTGCCCGGCTCTGGTCCGCGAGGGTGGGGGGGGGGGGGGGTGGGAGAAAACTAAGCCCTAAGGGCCTAAACCCCACTCCTGAGCCCGACTGTGCAGCCTAAGTAGGTGTCCCACCCTCTCCTTGCAAAAGCCCACTGCGCCAGGTAGCACAGTTCCGCGAGCAGTTTGTGAAGGCTCGTGGGTCGAAGGGACCACACAAAAAAAGTAAAGAGAATAATGTTTTGGCCTTTTAAAGAAGAACCTTTTTCTATTTTTTGGATAATTATTCTTAAAAGTCGTTTAGGGTGTAGGAAGTTTGGCTGAAGGGACTTGGGGGAGCCGGTTGGTTGGTGCTTTGGCGGGGTCTGCCTGCCCTTCTGCCCTCAGCTCAGGCAGCAGTTGCGCAAAAAACACGAGACACGTTGTCTACCTACCCACCAGAAGGGACATCCCCGAAAGTTCCACCCCGAGATCCCTGCTGCTCGGGGCCTTAGCATCCATGGATTCAGGGGCGGGTGCCTTTTGTGGGAGAAGGTTTGGGGGGGGGGGGGGAAGCCCAGGAGCTGAAGTGCACGCGATCCACAACCTTTTCTTTTCTGCTGGCACCTTTGCAGCCTTGGCACACGGATTAAGGGTCTATGGTTAAACCCTAAACCCTGAACCTAAACCTAAACCCTTAAACCCTAAACCCTAAACCCTAAAACCCTAAACCCTAAACCCTAAGCCGGGATTCAGGGCCTCAAGTCCTGGCAGGCCGATGACGGGCACCGGCGTGATCGGCGAAAGTCAGGAGCGAGGGGCAGGGTTCAGAAGTTCCTGAACTTTCTCCCGCGTGCAATTTCCCATCGATGTGGGACATGATTCTGCCCTAAACCTAACCCTACCAACCTAAACCCTAAACCCTAAAACCCTAAACCCTAAACCCTAAACTTAAACCTAAACCCTAAACCTTGCCCACGGGCTGCCCTTGGCGTGCATGATCGCCTCTTAGGATTGGATTCCTCCGCCTCGGTAGATCGAGCCCCGCTCCTTCGCCACACTAACTACCCAGCTTCTCCGCAGAAAGAGCTGTGGCCCTAACCAGCTCGTCAAGACAACACAGAGAAGCAAACCCTACCCTGGATGAGGGAGAACATACTCCTACTATGGCCCGCATATTTCCTTAGGAAAGTTTTTAAACAAAAAGGGCCCCCCCCAAAACCCCAATTTTTTATCACTTAACAGGCCCCAAGGCCACGGCCCCCCCCTGATGTCAGAGAGCGCTCTCTCTTGAAAGGGCCAGGGACTCTTCAAGGCGATGAAGCTGTCCCTGGAGCAGACGACGGCCCTCAGGAGGCCCCCTGGAGCCGAGGAGTTTCTTTTTTTTTTGTTTCGAGGAAGAGGTTTAGGGTTTAGGGTTTAGGGTGGATTCGCCCAGCTGTGCAGGAGGGAACAAACAACCACGTGGACAGAAGAAGTCGAAGCCCCTAAACCCAAAGCGAGAGTCGAACAAAGCCTTGCTTTGGGGTTGTTTGGGGGGGCCTAAAGCCCTCAGGATCCCAAACCCCAGAATCCTGAATCCAGCCTCTCTTTGTGACCAACATCACCCCGTACATCCCCTAAATATACAGCCTCTTCTATTTATATTTATTTGTGTGTGTGTGTATATCATATATCTGTGTACATGCATATGATATATATATATATAAATATATAAATAAATAAATAGATAAATAAAAAAATAAATATAAATAAATAAATAAATGAATAAAAAATAATAAATAAAATAAATAAATATATAGAATATATATATTCATACACTCTGCCTCGCGAGCGAAGCCGCAGGCCTTGGAGACGTGCAGGCCAGCAAGGACCACCCCACAACAGCTGCTGCCAGTTGAAGAAAATTGAGCATCACTTCTATGACCAGTATGACTCTGAGCCGTTTCCTGCTAGTATGAATATTACTCATTGCTAATGTTATTGGGTGTATGATTACCAGTACTTTGAAAGTGGTACTTACTAGCATTCTTAGTACTACTCATACCACCCTGACAGCGAGGAGCGTGGAAGGGGCTCAGGATCGTCATAACAAGTCATACTTTTGTTGCTGTTTTGCTTTTTACTTAAATGCTTTTGTTGTTCTTGCAAGCTCTTTTGTTGTGACAGCTGTTGCTTTTGTTCTCGTGCTGGTTGTTGTTTACGAATGTTGCTGTCATAGTTGTGTGTGGTGATCATTGTTCTTGTTCCTAAAGCCCCCCCCCCCCCGGCCCCTCCAAATGCCCTAAACCCTAAACCCTAAACCCTAAACCCTAAACCCTAAACCCTAAACCCTACACCCTACACCCTACACCCTAACCCTCCAAATGCTGAGATCTCAACTCCGACGGCTCTCCCCCTCGGCTTTGTAGCGTCGAGCAGGCTCTTGATGTGCCTGGTGTTCCTTGCTTGGCATCCTGCGAAGTTCTTGAAAGAGAGCCCATGCTACCTACGGAGAGAGGCTTCGATACCTAAACCCTAAACCCTAAACCCTCAACCCTAAACCCTAAACCCTCAACCCTCAACCCTAAACCCTAAACCCTCCAGGACGCGATGGACTTCGCCACCTACCTCCGCGTCCTCGGGGCCATAGCGAGGAAGGCGCGCCCGCCCGCGCGCAGAGCTGTCATAGATGTCCTGAGTTTCCTGGCGTGACCTTGGCTCATCCTGAGCCTCCAAGCCCTACACCCCATAAAGCCTAAGCCCCATGCCTTGCCTGCCTCATGCGAGTCATGCGAGTGTGAGAGTTGAAGCCCTAGAGTTGAAGCCCTAAACCCTCTTTCAGAAGCACACGCTTCAGCAGCATGGTCGACGCTGGGAGGCAGGGCTTCAAAAGTAGGTTAGGGTTGTAGAAACATCCCAGCTAGAGACTATGTCCCCCTTGGGAATTATTTGTTATTTTTGTAAACCCAAGAGGATATTACAATATTATCTTTAGTAAGGTTGTAAGGGGAGTATAGGAGAAGCACGCACGCTCGTGGGGCAGGGCAAGCTGGTCCTCTGAGTCGAGGGAGCCGAAGCCGTCCAAGGACTCCACTTAGTGGTTCGTGGGTGCTGTACGTACTTCTCATGGGCATTGGCTATTGCTGTCTAAGGGCACTTTATCAGCCCATGTAGAAGTGCCTGAGAACCTCGAAGCACGAGAATGGCGACACTGCGGGATAGTGCAACAAATCGACAAATTGAAATAAACACATGTAGATATCAATAGAGAAAATAAATGAACATATATATATATATATATGTTTATATATATACACATATGTTTGCACCCACACATATATATCTATATACACATTCCCCTCTCTTTCTCTCTATGTATACACACACTCCTATAAATGAATTAATAAAACAATATATATATATATATATATAGATATGTATTGATAGAAAAAGTTGATAGACACTCACACACACATACATATATATATATATACATGTGTATAAATAGATAAATAAATATAAATAAATAAATAAATAAATATATATATATATATATACATATACATGTGCTCATACATATATAGACATCCGTATATACATATATATGTACACATACATATGTGTAGGGTAAAGATAACACTGGAAGAGTCCTCTGGCGCGGCTTGAGTTTCACCGAGAATGGCATGTCGGTCTAAGGTTGACATTGCTGATAGCCGAATTGAACCCTACCCGCAGTACGAAGAACCCCGAATAGGGTTCAGGGTTCAGGGTTCAGAGTGTAGGGTTTAGGGTTTAGGAAGACAGCAAGGAGTCTAGTTTGCAAAAACGGGCTTAGGAAGAACCCCAATCTCCACGAATATGGTTATACACTTGGGCTGAAGGTGTGGTTGCTCTTGGGCGACAAGTATGCGTGCAAACTGCCCACGGAGAAGACCCCAAAGCCCTCAACCCCAAACCCTAAACCCTAATAAAACCCACAGTCCGCAAGACCGCAGGCATAAACCCCAAACCCCAAACCCCAAACCCTCAAGTTTCGGTTTCACCGGGCGAGGGCAAGGCTGGGACCTGCGAGAGCCCCAGTGGTCCCGTGTGAGACTTACGCCAGCTGGGAAACCGGGACTCAACACTAGGGTTTAGGGTTTAGGGTTTAGGGTTTAGGGTTTAGGGTTGAGGGGAAAAGGGTTGAGGGTTGAGGGTTGAGGGTTTACGAGTCCATGGCAACGTGAGGCACGTAAGAAAGCCCTGCGGCAAAAGGATCTAGGGTTATTCTGCAGCTTGTGGCATGTAAGAGGGCATTCAGGTTCCTGTACGCAAGGGGAAGTCTCCATGTACTTTCTCGTCAGCTCCCGACATCAAGCGCCTGCATGCAGCCTCCAGTATCTTTCGGGTACCTAAATGCATAAGGGGCCGTGTAAGAAGCGCCAAGAACCAAAGAAGGGAGCATGAAATCGAAGTAGGCCAGGGGCGGGGTGTGAGCTCGGCCGAAAGCCCGTGCCTGAGGCAAAGGCGAGAAGCTCTGCAATTGCAGAGCTTGAACGCTGTAGGAGGGCTTCAAGAAAGTGTCACAAAAAAGGCGCGAGCAAGCTTGTGGATCTTGTTGTTGCCGTTGACAAGGAAGCAGCAACGCAGAAACCTGCAATTGACAACCCCCCAAGCCCTCAACCCCAAAGGGCCGCATTCTCGTAAGAGCCGACACAAGGAACCAGGAGAACTGCATAAATAGGGTCGAGGCTTGTGCATGAGGCGAGTTCTCGGCCCATGCACCCGCGCTCGTGGGTAGACGGGGACTAGGCGACTTCGTGAGCTTCACACTATGTGAAGGTATAGCTACAGCTAGAATTGGGTCATTGACTTTTACCTCACAACCCCCAACACCCCAAAACCCTCAACCCTCTGCCCCCTCTCAAACCCCCCGTAACCCTAAACCCTACACCCTACACCCTAAACCCTAAACCCCACACCCGCTGCGAAGGCCTTGTGGGCCTGCAGGGCGCACGGCTGCGTCGGCCGGCCTCGGCCGATGCAGGCCTGCAGGGTTTGGGTGGGTGGGGGCCGGGGGGAATAGTCTGAGATGGTACCACATAGTATAAACATATGGTATAGTCGGACAAACTAGTACCAATCTAGTCTAATGCATACTATCCTGCACTGTAGCATGATCTAGTATAGTATGGGCAGCTGGTTCGGGCGGCAATCGTCTCCTTAAGACCTGAGTCTTACAGTGCTTGCAGAAATGTCCTGTGCAGGGGCCCTAACGGAAGGGATTCGGTGGTTGGGGGGAACCAAAGAAGCAAATACCCCTCAGTTCTTACTGGGCTCTAATCATACTAGGGATAAAGTGTTTTCGGAATATTCGTCCATAAGAAGCGTATTGGTCTCTGCGACGGAGGTTGCTTGCCAAACTTGTTTGCTTCCCTCAGTCGTTATAAGACTGAGAGTACCAGTGCTAGTAGTAAGAACAATAACAGCAACAAATCATGACAGTAATGATATTCCTTCATAGTTGTCATATATCAGTTGAAAGGGCCGGAGCCCCCCCCCCCTTTCAAGGGGCATAGCACCTGTGTAGTCGGCTGATTTCCCGTAGCGTGTAGGGTGTCTGGGTAGTTCTAGTAAGAACAGGTCTCTTGATTTAGATCAGTGAAGCGGGTGGCAACAATTTCCCCATTAAGTGCAAGTGAGATTCCTTGCAAATCATCATGAGGCCGCGAACACGCGCGCACACACACACACACACACCCACACACAGACGTAGACATGTTGAGGCCGCGTGGGCGCTAAACCCTAACCCTGATTCCTCATGAGTGAACCTCGAATAGTCCCGGCGGAGTTGCACGTAGACGTGTGCAGTGCGGGTGGCAAGTAAAGCCCCTAAGCCCTCGACCCCAAACCCCATGGCCAGAGCTCGTTTTCACCCATGCCCCACTCTGCAGCTTTCGTGGCTCTTGTCTCGCACAACTTCTCTCTTTGCCTTCCAATAGGGATCGACGCTTGGCTTGGGAGCTCGGGAGTGGGGCACCTTCCGTTTCCCCGGCGTGATCCCTCCCTCCCCCCCCCCTTAAGGGCTGGACACTCAGAACTCGTGAGGCAGGGTGTTGGCTTTTGGCAGAGGGCATCTCGAGGGAGGGATCGGGGTGACGCTGAGTCGAAGCCAACGAGTTGTGTTCAGTGGAGAAGGCTCTCCCACTCCCAGCTACCGGCCCTCCTGTGGGCATCCTGCGCAGGTAGCCTCGTACTCGTGGCTTGTTGTAGTAGATACCCTAAACTAAACCCTAAACCCCAAATCCGAAACCCTAAGCCTAAACCCCAAATCCTAAACCCTAAGCTTAAACCCCAAACCCTAAACCCCAGAGCTTGGCGGAGCCCAGGAAGCGCTCTATCCATGATGGCTCGCTTTGCCGTGACCCTGGCCGTGTGCGTGGCGACCCTGGCTCGAGGCCGGCGTATAGGGTTTCAGGGCGCAGGGTGCAGGCCGCAGTGTGTAGGGGTTTAGGGTTTAGGGTTTTGTAGGGTTTAGGGTTTAGGGTCCAGGGTGTAGCGTTTAGGGTTTAGGGATAGGGTTCAATGAGGGTTGAGGGTTTAGGGTTGAGGACAGAAGCAAGCCTGATGCAAGAAGGGTTTAGGGGCGTTGAAGCTTTAGTTCCGAAAAGCCTTCTTGCGTTCTGCGGAGTCCAGCAACCCTAAGCCCTAAACCCTAAACCCTAAACCCTAAACCCTAGACCCAAAACCCGAAACCCGAAACCCGAAACTTCTTGCGTAGTCCCAAATCCCAAGCCGCCGAGGCGAAAACTGGCAGGATATCGCTGCCGCCTTTTTCTCCGACGATGCGCCCTGGCGCTGGCTAAAGCTCTTCAAAAAGGGGTCCGGGGCTCTTGGGCCCTAAGCCCCAAACCCCAAATCCCAGACCCCAAAACCCTAAACGCTCAAACTCTAAACCGCTAAACCCCTAAGGCAAAAAACGAACCCTAAACTCGAAGCCCTAAACCCCAAAACCCAGAACCCTGAATCCTGAGCCCGAAAGCCCCTAAAACCCGGAGGCCTGAACCCTAGGTGGGATAAGGGGGACCCATAAAAGGGAACCCCTTCTTAACCCTCTTCTGGCTCTCTTAAACGGGGACCTTATTCAGACTGTCTATATCCCCAAGGGTCCCCCTAATCCTATCCCCTAAACCCCAACGCCACGCTTGTTGCAGGATTGCCAGGCAGGCTCCACGGACGAGAGCTGCGCGCTGAACGCCCTCCAACTTGCCCGCTGCACAGGGGCGCCTCCGCAGAGATTTAGGGTTTAGGGTTTCGGGTTTCGGGTTTCGGGTTTGGGGTTGAGAGTTTGGAGCACAACTCGGGGGCGCAACATTCACGGCGGGTGCGCCCTAAACCCTGACCCCTTCGAAACGCCGAAGCCGGAACCCCTTCGCAGATCCAGGATTTCGAGACTGAAGTCCGCGCCCCTCTCATGGAGATGGTGAAGCAGCTCAAGGCATCTTTTTGTTTCAGGGCTTGAGGGTCTTCGGGTCTCTGGGTTTAAGGGTCCGGCTTAGGGTTCAGGAGTTTGGGTCTTTGCCAACGCCCGCCTTCCTTCTGATTTTGAGTGGGGGCCTTCAACCCAAGATCTCTACACCCCCATCTCCTCAACCCCGCGACCCTGGCTGCCCGTCTTAGGTTGTTGGTCACAGGGGCTTGTGCCACTCTTTTTGGGGTTCCTTATCTAGTAGGAGCAGTAAAGTCTAACCTCTGTGTCCCCTGGGTTTTTGGACAAGTAAGCCAAGGCCCCTAACCAAAGCCTCAAGTGCGAATTGCGGAAGCCAGCGATTGCCCCAGGACATCACCAACCAGCTGGTCGTCTCCCTGAACGAGGCCGACGAGACGTCCAAGGAGGACAACAACATGGGGCCCCTGCGTCTGAGCCATTGTGGGGGGGGGGAAGCCCCCCCCCCTCCCCAAAAGGAGTTCGTGTGTTCAATGCAGGAGGGCTTTGATCATCACCCGCCCTCAGCCCTAAACAGTCTTGGGTTTTGAAGCCGGGGAGCACCGGGGTGCTGAGAACCGACGATTAGATGTATGTCTTCAGGGCCGCTGAGTTGGGTTGCAAGTGCCCGGAGCTTCCAAGCAGGTCCCGTTCAGGGTTTAGGGTTTTGGGTTTAGGGTTTAGGGTTTAGGGTTTAGGGTTCAGGGTTTAGGGTTTAGGGTTTAATTAGGAGCTAAACGCCCTAAGACGTTCCGGAGCCCGAGGCTCCTGCCACTCACGACTGCCGCCAACAAGATCCTGCGAAAGGCCAGCGCAGATGGGTCTTAGGCCACAAAAGAGTGTAGGGTCCGGGTTGCAGAGGTTCATGGGGGTACACAGGAGTAGGGGCTTATACGTGCGATTTAGAGGTGCTGCCCCTAGTTACTAGTTTGGGGGTCCAGCGACCGTGTGACTGCCTACTGCCCGGAGGGCACACCACGCTGTAGACTGACGTGTGGCGTTGGACCGCATCACAGGAAGCCTCAGTGCGCACGTCGTGTTGCTCCCTCCAGCAAGCCATGAGTGCGTAGGCCCCTTCCGTTCTTTTGAGCTGCCCTCAGACGTGGGAGTTGGCTGTAGGGGCCACGGCGCGTCGGAGCGCTTCCGTTCTGCACCTGTGCGCGGTTTGTCGCGTGCGACGCTGGCAGTCGTGGCAAGGGGATGCCCCCCAGAAGGGGAGTGGGCAGATGATCAGAGTTCCAGCATTTGTAGCCCCAGGATGTGGCTCCCCTCAACCCTAAACCCTAAAGTCGAAACCCTAAACCCTAAACCCTAAACCCTGTTTTTCGGCCCCCAGATCATGCTGCGGAAGCCCGAAACCCTAAACCAAAAGGTGGGCCCAACGTTCTTGCTGATGCTGAACAACACGAATGCCGCCAAGCGCGACCCAGGCCAGGTTGTGATCCTCTGGTTCTTAGCAAGGAATGAGGGAATGAGGGCACTTTTTTCAATACCTTAAAGGGTATATATATGGTTCTTTTGGTAGGGAATGAGGGAATGAGGGCCCTGTATATACCTTAAAGGCTACTATACAGCACCCTCATTCCCTCATTCCCTCATTCCCTCATTCCCTCATTCCCTCATTCCCTCATTCCCTCATTCCCTCATTCCCTCATTCCCTCATTCCCTCATTCCCTCATTTCATTCCCTCATTCCCTCATTCCCTCATTCCCTCATTCCCTCATTCCCTCATTCCCTCATTTCCCTACCAAGCAGTTGATCGGAGGTGCCCACGAACTCTTGGAGCTCGGGGTTTGCCGGCGCCCACTGAAACCTAGCAAGCCCTGAGCCGGTACACCCCAAGGCCCTACGCCCTAAGCCCTAGACCCTAAACCCTAGACCCTAGACCCTAAACCCTAAACCCTAGAGCGAAACCCCCCTAAGCACAGGCCTTGAGCAGTACGGGGAGCACGCGGTCATGCAGCAGGACTGGGTCCCAGAGGAAGCTGTAGCATGGCTTGCCTGTGTGTTGCTGAGCGTGCTATTCGTGAGTCAGCTCTCATGAGTATGCATTCGAACAAGGCCTTTTGGCAGGGAGTGCGAAGCTCTGCTAGGGACGAAGCATGCTGCTGCAGCTTGACTCTTCAACTCTTCTTTGTCATAGTTGGGTAACATTTTACAATTTGAAGGGTACTGAAACCCAATCCTAGTAGTAGAGTAGGTAACCTTTAGCCTTTTTGGGGTAGTAGAATCCCCTTAGAATCCCAAAGGTTAACCTGTAATTCCCCCCAGGTTACTGGTCAACTAAGCAGTAAGGAGTAGAAACTTAAATTCTTCATATTATCCCAGCAATGGACTGGTCTTCAGTGCTTCAACCCTTCAACTCTTCCACGCCGCAGCCCCCATGCAGCAGGACTCCATGCTGACGATGCTGAAGCTGCCAAGCTCTGAACTTGGGGCTCCCTAAACCCTAAACCCTAAACCCTAAACCCTAAACCCTAAACCCTAAACCCTAAACCCTAAACCCTAAACCCTAAACCCTAAACCCTAAACCCTAAACCCTAAACCCTAAGCCCTAAGCCCTAAGCCCTAAACCCTAAACCCTAAACCGTATCTCAACGGGTGGCAACAAAAAACCGTATCTCAAACGTTGAATTTGCGGGTTTTGTTGGGCTTCGGCTTTCAAGGGCCGAACTCGTGGGGTCTAGCCCGGACCCAAAGCTTCAAGCCTGACATTCCCGAGACACTTGTCCTTGAGGCTGAGCAAAGCGAAGCTGCGCCAAGTCCACCGGTAAACCCTATAGGGCTTTAGGGCTTAGGGTTTAGGGTTTAGGGTTAAGGCCCTGGAACGCGATGCCATGCTGTCTACAAAGGTTTACCGTCGTGCACTCCGGCCTCGTCATGCAACAGGTGGCAACTTGCCCGCAGAGGCTTGAGGTTTAGGTGGGCGCGTCGAGAAGCACATAAAGCATCGCCCTACACACCGCCTGAAGCAAACCTCTGAGATCGATTCCACCGACGAGACGAGCAACGACTTTGCCGTCGAAGTGAACGAGGATGTTGCGTGGCACAGGAATCGTCAGATCTGCTCTGTGCTGCGACCTGTGCTGCTTATCCCTATAAATCCTAAGCCCTAAAAACCTGAAAACAGCAGGCAATGCTGGGAGAGCAAGGAATGTGAAATGTTCTCAACCCCCCCCATTCCGGGGCTGCTTCAGGGTGTGGAGGTTCAAGAGCGGAGGCTTTGTGGTTCTGAGGCTCTTAAGTGGCAGTCCAAAGACTCCGCAAGGATATTTGGAGTGCCTTTCAGTCCTTTCAGTCCTTTCAGTCCTTTCAGTCCTTTCAGTCCTTTCAGTCCTTTCAATCCTTTCAGTCCTTTCAGTCCTTTCAGTCCCTTTCAGTCCTTTCAGTCCTTGCAGTCCTCAGAGTATCAGGCTCAGGCGGCACGCGAATGGCTGAAGAGTTCGCTGCTGGCATCCTGGCTCAGCGCCAAGGACGCCGGTTGTGGGGTTTCAGGCGGATCGTTGTCGGGTTTTGTGGGATTTGTAAGGGTCCGGAAGGCATCTTTTTTTAAGCATCTAGTCAGAAATTACAAAGATCAAGGAGAGTACTCGTACTTAGAGGGTTCTGTTAGTACAGGCGACCCCCATCGTCTCTTCAGAACCTTGTAAGATGAACATAATTAGGAGCCAAACCCACCACCAAAACGATCCTCCGTACTATCTCAGCGTAAGTATAGCATAAACGAGTCCTACAACCGAAACACCTAGAGTAACACTTCCCTAAACCCTAAACCCCAAAACCCTAAACCCTAAACCCTAAACCCTAAATCCTAAACCCTAAACCCTAAACCCTAAACCCTAAACCCTAAACCCGAGTAACACTTCTAGAGTCGCGAGCTCGAAGCCGTCCTCAACACCGCAGGATCCGTGCGCTGAACGAATTCCTACCAATCGCTGAAGAACCCCCCCAAAAAACATTCTTCCTTATAAGGGTAAAATAGAGATTGTTTTGTATATATTCTTTGGGGTTCTTAAGCAAGTTTGAAGAAGGAGATTCAGGTTTTCCTTTTTTGGGGGGGCCCCTTCCTGAGGTTCCGAAAGGATGATCGTATTGTTGGGGTGTGCGCTTGGGGGAACCCCCTGCCATTTCATTGACCTCACTGGCAGTCCGTCCGAGAGTGGTCGGCTAGGCGTTTATAAAGCAAAAACTGCAAAGCAGGTATGGTGAGTATGTGCCCTCCTGCATTGATTGGCCAGGACATGCTCCCGAGGGTCCAAGCGCTTGTGCTTCTCGGCTTAGCCAGCAGTAGACAGGGCTTTAAGGCTTTCAGCAGCGTTTTAAGACTCTACTGGCACGGCATGAAGATTTTCCGTGATGTTCTGAAAGCAGGTTCAGGACACGTGATGACAAGGTTCCGTGCTATACGCTAGAAAATCAGTGTTCCAGGCACCCAGAAGGGGACCATGACTCGTAAACCCTAAACCCTAAACCCTAAACCCTAAACCCTAAACCCTAAACCCTAAAGCCTAAACCCTAAACCCTAAAGCCTAAAGCCTAAAGCCTAAAGCCGAAAGCCGAAAGCCTAAGCCCTAAACCCGAAACCCGAAACCCGAAACCCTAAACCCTAAACCCTAAACTCAGAGAGAAGAGAGAGCCCCCAAGGAACGGCAGCTACAGCTCCCCGGAAGTGCTTCTTGGCCAGAGCTGGGACCTCTTGAGGGGGCTCCTAATAGGGGGGGTTTATGACTCTCAGGGACCCTAGTATGAACCCCCATAATAGTAGGATTCCCTTTTTCTAAGGACCCCGATAAGGTACCCCTAATATCGTAGAAGGTTTGCCATAATCAGGGACCCTAATTTAACCCCTCCCCCCCCCCCGCAAGAGTAGGATTCCCTTTTTAAAAGGACCCAAGAAGGCACCCCGAATATCGTAAAACCCCCAAATGAAGGAGAGGATCTTCCGTTTCTTGGTTTACATACGGCCAAACCCAACAACCTGAACCTTGAGGCCCAAACCCTACAAGCCCTAAGCCGCGTTGTGCTAGCCATGGTTTGCTCTACATCGCATGATATTGTTGTATATTGCTAGATGTTACTGATGATACTCCAGATGACTATGTGTTGTTATGTCTCGCTATATCTATATATATATATATATATATAAAATTTTTCATTTCTTCATAGATAGTATTGTGTATATATAGATATACGTTCTTGTAATGTAATTATCTAAATCCTTGTCATCATATAGAGATGGATATGTTATTGCAAGAACATGGTGCATGTGAGTTCAAATGTGTGTGTGTGTATATATATATATATCATTAAAACCCTGGAACTTCCGAGGATGGCGAAGCAGGTCGGGGGCCTCCGCATTTTGGTCTTGGGGGTTTCAAGGTTTCAGGCAGTCCCTCCTCCCGCAAAGGGTTTCGGGCGGGGTTCGTGAGTCCCGAAGTGGCCGCTTCTCAGAGCTCTACAAAGAGCGGATGACAGCATGAAGGGGCATTTTTTGGAGGGGCCCCGACATGAGGCTTGGGTGCAGCCCATCCTAACCCTACACCCTGAATCCCCCATACGGCCCATCCCAGCCCCCGAAAAACCGCCTTGAACCACGACCCCGGGTGAGGCGGCGTGCGCGTCCGACACCGCCACGGCAATCTCCAAGCTCCCCGCGCGCGTGTTTTTTTGTTGTGGGGCTTGTGGGGGTTTTGTCGGGTTTTGTGTGTTTAGTGAGTTTAAGAGTTTGGGGTTCGACCTTGGAGGGCTTGCGGGCGTTCTTGGCTTTGGGATCCTGAGGGACAGTTTCGAAGGTCGTCGAAGCTCCCAAGCTCAACAGACACTGGGGAAGCTCAACTGCCGCAGTTTTGGGATGCCTGAACCCGCGATGCGGTTTAGGGCCGCTTGAGGGTTCTAGGGTTTTATGTAGAGTCTAGGGTGTAGGGGTTGAAGGTTTAGGTTTAGGGTTTAGGGTTTAGGGTTTAGGGTTTAGGGTTGGGTCTAGGGTTGGAGTGTCAGTCCAGTCCTTAGGGTTTCAGTGGGGGTGTTGCTTGGCGGGCAGGCTCGAGCGGAGAGATCTGGAAAATTGATTGCGTAGTCCTTCGAGCCAACAAGCTGTCCAGAGTCATGACGGCACGTCCCAGCAGCATCGAGGAATGGGTCCACCTTGTCCCTCACTTGCTGGATGACGACGGCTGGCGGCCTATCCTGGCAGGCGCTTCGACCGCCCTGTTGCACTGCAGCTGCCCTTGGGGTGGAACTTTGGTGAAGATCTCCTTTCTGGAACATTCTGAGGATCTGTGGAGGGTTCTTGTCCGGCCAGAAGTGGCTTCATGGGAGACCGGCAAGCTTGGGGAATGGAGCCACGTGACCCTGGAGGAGCAGCTTGCGCTGGGGGATGCTGTGGTTCACATGGAGGCGCCCTGCGCCGCTGTGCGGCTCCTGGCGGCGCTGTTTGGTGCGACAGGCATGCGGCTTGCCACGGAGATGCGCGTGCGCACCTGGCGCGACTTCCCGCAGAGAGGCGATGTGGCCCAGACCATCACCAGCCTGTGCGAGTCTGATGCCATGACTTTTTGCCGCCCGACTGACAAAGGGGCCGTCCATGTGTACCACATCCTCCGAGTGCCGGGGAGCCTCGACTACTCCGAGAGCGTTACCGCGCAACTCGAAGGCGTCCTGCAGTCTGGAAAGGTCTTGGCACCACACCTTGTTCACCGACCGGGCATCAGTGACATCCGCCAACATGACCAGCACTTCTATCTTATCCTCACCATACAGAGCTGCAAGCGGGGAATGCCTTTGTTGCCAGTGGGGAATGTGCATGCCCACGGGGAGCATGTCACCACGATCGATGCCGGCAAGGGTATGGGGCTGACTACTTGGGCCCGCTATGATCCTGCCATGGTGGGAAGTGACAGATTCTTCCTGTCGGAGTATCTGCAACAGTTTGCGAAGAGCATTGGCGAAAGCCTGGAGGCCTACCAATCCTTGAATGGGCAAGAGCTGCTCTTTTTCCAGTGCGCGGTCGCCAGAGAAGAATGGTCCCGTGTTCAGCCGCGCATTCAAGCTGCATATCGCCTGCAAAAGACGGCATACCGCCACCTCAACGGTGGGGTACATGCGCCGGGTCTGGTGGAGGGAGGCGCACCACGTTTCTGCCCAGACAAGGGCCTCACGCCTCCGCAAGGTCGCATCGCGCGTCACCAACCCAAGGCTCAGGTCCGCAAGATGTTCTTCGAGGGGGAGCCTGGGCTTGATTGCAATGAAGCAGGTGCACATATTCCTTTGTTCCCGAACTCGTCCTTTGTTTTGATCCCATGAAAACTCCATAGACAAGCTCAAGTTTAGAGAGACCTAAGCCCAGGGCCCTAAAACCCCCCCCCCCCCTAGTAAAAATCCACCCCAGGAGGAGGTCGAGGGTGACGAGGAGCATTCGGCCCTCCGAAGCTGCAGACGCCACCACAGCGCCACGATGTCCAGGGACGGCGACTGCATCTGTGTTGCGTGAAGGTCTCCACACTTCTTGGGAACCCATTCTGGGGCATACCAAGCCTTCACTCTTATCTGGGCAAGGCTGTGAGGAGTCCCGTTCCGTTTCTATTTCCCGGCTTCTTTGGGCAGGCTTTGTGCTGTACTGCGCATGACTGCCTGCCCACTTGAAGCTGCCGAATCAGCAGTGGATTTCTGTACAGTCCATGCAAAGCTTTCGCTGGAGAGGGCCCAAGGAACTCTGCTGGAAGCCTGTGGGTTCAACCCCGAAACCCTAAACCCTAAACCCCAAACCCTAAACCCTGACCCCTAAGCCCTAAACCCTTGTACAGTCTGGCAGTTCCTCTGGGCTCGAGCGACCTGGAGCATGGAAATGGAAACTGACAAGGTGCCCACCGTCGGTGCCGCTCAACCCCGCGCCGAATGAGACAAAGGTTGCCTTGCGGTGCCGTCCGCCTGTCCGCCTCATCGAGGTGGTTTATGGTTTAGGGTTTAGGGTTTAGGGTTTAGGTTATCGTAGTTAGCGATTTATGACTATTCCTTGGTTCCACACTCACCAAGAGAAATTTTACGTAAGTTTAGGGGTCGGCATGCGCGAGCCGATGTCTTGGCAAACCGAGGCTGACCACTCTCTACTCGGACATCGTGACGGCTGGATCCGACTGCAATGCGGCTGAGATGCATGGGGAGAGGATTTAGGGTTTCGGGTTTGGGGGTTTTAGGGTTTTAGGGCTTCAGGGTTTAGGGTTTCGGGGAGCAGATCCATGGGCTTGGCATGGAGGGAGTTGCAGGGCGTCTCAGTCGCTTGCCCCCTTTGTGGAAACTGGATCTGGGCCCTGAACCCTAAACCCCAAACCCTAAATCCAAAATTCTAAACCCTAAACCCTAAGCCCTAAGCCCTAAGCCCTAAGCCCTAAACCCCAAACCCTAAACCCTAAACCCTAAGCCCTAAACCCCAAACCCTAAACCCTAAACCCTAAACCCTAAACCCTTGGGCCTAAGGTCAGCAACGCCGAGCTGTACAGCAAGGAGGACTGCCAGTGACTGGCCTGCGAAACGGTTTGCGCGATCCGGGTATGCATGCCATTCTCGCTTGTTGTTTGGATCTCTAAACTCTACGCCGTAAACCCTGAACCCTGAACCCTGAACCCTAACATATATGCTCATCTAATCCTTTTCCCCTGTCAGTACATTAAAGCCCTCCCCTCCTTCATATAGAAATCTCGGTCCGGGGCAAGAATAGCGTAAGTTCGGGAGTTTCGGGATTAGGAAATGCAGCCAGGTGCCAGGTGCAGGTTTTTCTTGAGTTTTGGGAGAGAGGGGTTAGGGTCGAATTTGAATGATCTAGCTTGATATTTGGGTCTTGGAAACCGGTCTCAAGGGGGCAGGTGCCGCAAATAATTTATTGCACCAGGGGGGGCTTGCTAAGCGTGTGAAGAGACTACTTCATGTCGCTGTTGGCTTGTCCTTTGTTTGCATACTGCGCTCTTCTTGCACATTTGTCTGTTTTTTGCATCACAGTCCTTGGGATGCTGGGGGAGCCCGAGGTCCAGCGCCTTGAACGTCCAGTCCGGCATCGATGGGGTGATCAAGGACGGCGCGTCCATGATGCCGCTGGGACTTCGGTGCTCTTCCGCTGGAGCCCTCACCCCAAATTTCATGCCCTGAGCCCTCAGCCCTGAAAAAGACCCTAAGCCTTCATTTAACCCTTAAGCCCTAAAGGCCCGAAACCCTAAACCAGGTGACTGAAGAAGCTCGAAGCCCTAGGCCCCCCTCCTCCCTCTCCAGCAGCAACAGAGTTTCGATCTGCTGGAGAGCGGTTCCACGTGGAGCCGAGCCTGCCATGAACAAGGTGTGCACCATTTGAATTTTGTACCAAAGGGTGAGGCATTTGATTTGGATCATGAAGTCCTCATGATGGTGTATGTTCATCAAGATCAGTTTTGTGGTATTTCGGCTAAAAAAGGTTAGTTTGACGCACACAAGGCCTGTTGTAGAACCACCCCTAGGGGGGCCACCATCACGAAGCGTGGATGTCGTCCTATGCTTGCCAGGAGTTTGAACCACGAGGCATGCTTGAAATCCCAGAAAAGCTTGTTGCCCAGCATGGCACCCTTGGCATCGAGCCGACGCGACTCCTCACCCCCCCCCCCACGCAGCGAAGGTGGAACTGCTACAAGAGCAGCTGCTTAGCTGCGCAGATGGGTGGGTGACCGGATTGTGGCGTATGTTCAAGGGCTCCCAGCCCCCCCCCCCCCTTTTTGGGCCTCACCACGGTCGTCCTGATTTTCATGCTGCTGGCACTAGACCTCCAATTTCATATCTCCTGGTCCTGCCACCTTTGTTCCGGACCCTGTAGGGGTGTGAGGAATACCTTGCTTAGCCAATAGTTGAGCTTTAAACTTCTAGGAATAAAGGATACCTTTTTGCTTTGGTTATTGAAGAAGTAAGAAACAGGCCCTCCAGGTTCCGGGTACCCCGAACGCGAAGGCAGAAGCCCTACAGGGTGTCAAATCCACGCCCGCTGGGGAGGCTGGGTTTGCGCCAAGAGCGTTGCCACGACCAGCAGCTTCTTGATCAAGGCCTTCATGTCTACCATCGTGATGAGCCTGGGCTGTTTGGGTTTAGGGTTTGGGGTCTAGGGTTTAGGGTTTAGGGGCCTGGCAAAGAGGACTTATAAGGGCTTCGTGCTTCCTCAAAAAAGGCAGGCGAGGCCCCCCTGGCTTTCTTTGGGGGGTTTAGGGCAAGGAAGGGTTTCCTGGCAAGTCGGAAAGATCCGCGTCCAGCTCTCAGGAAGGGTGCCTGCGACGACACTGACACCATCTCCCTGGCCGTGTGCCTTGGCTGGCTACCGCAACCCATCTCACCCTCTCAGGGCCCTCATCATGGACAAGCCGGCTCAGCTTCAAAATGCAACAACAGGCGGATACAATAGTAACTCAGTAGTTCAGAACTTTAATGATTGAACAGTAGGGAAATAAATGGGCTTATAAAATAATAGAACAATAGAGCAATAGAACAAAAGCAGTAGAATGGCAGAATAGCAGAATAATGGACGAATGTAAAAATAATGATAGTATGACACTACAAAAATGACCATCGGATAAAGTAAATCATGATCATCGAATAAATCAAATAAAGTCCCCCCGGAACAGCATCCAGCCATCCTCCTCGTAGGTGCAAGAGCGAGTCCTTCCAGCTCTTGGCCGGGCTGTCTGCCGCCGCGACGAACATGTTCGCAGCTCCGGCAGCATCTCTCCGGGGGTTTCGCGTGCAAAAGGGGTTTGGGGATCACTGAAGAGGGTCCGGGGCTTGGGGGCTTAAGGGGAGGACGACTTCCTGCTCACACTCTTTGCACGTTTTTTTGGGGGGAGTTAAGGGGCATCGATGGCATGAAAGCCCTGAAAGACCCTGAACCCACAATGCGCCCCCCCCGCCCTCCCCCCCTCCCCGCCCAACTCCCAAGACGTGTCGCACAGGAAACCGCGAACAACTGCCAGTCCAACTGCCGCTGAGTGCCGGAGTTTCACGGGGAAGAGCCCCTTTCGCAGTGTCCGTTCCTGAAGTCGGGGGGGCCACAGTCTTCAACCCTGCCCTGCCAGGTTACAACATCCTCCGCGAATTTGAGCCTCTAGACTCCTAGATCCCATCGGCATCGGGCCGCTCCTCTTGTCACTGTTTCACGTCGCCCCCTCGACGCAGAAGAAGGCGGGGGATTGGCCTCCTGGAGGCCTCAGGGTTTTGGGCCATTTCCCGCCCCCCCTCCCCCCAGCTGGACGGACCTGCAGCGCGCCGCTTGCTACCTTGCGGGACTGGCGGCTCCGACTCACGGCGAGCGTGTGGGGGCTGATCGTTTGCCTTCTTACAAGTGGGGCTGAGGGTGATGAAGGCTTTTTTATTGCAAGGCTTCATGTGTCCCTTTGAGTGGTCAGCCTCCAACCCTGGACCTGCGTTTCACACTTATAGGGGTGGGTCACCGGACCCAGACGCCAGACTCCTGGCCAACTTTCTGCCCCAAGATTCCAGGCCCAGCCTCGAAGAAGAATTGGGCTGCCGGTGGCCCATCCGAGGGAGGGACAAGGACTCGCCTCCCTTCGTGCATTCGAGCGGATCACGGATGCTTCCGCGCTTCCGCCCTTGAGGGAAACTCTGACCTTCCAGCCTGACTGCCACCCCTCACGAGATCTCGAAAATATTTGGACAACCCGAGGGAGGGGGGGCATCGTGAAGATCGTTGAAGGGGTCGGCAGGGGCGTCTCCTGAGATTTCTCGACTTTTGAGTCAGCTCTGGGCCGTGCAAGTCCAGACCGTGAACTGACGCAGAAAAAGGGGGGTCTTGCAGGGCGTCGTCGTTCTTAGCATCATTCTTCCCTGAAATAGTTGGAATGGTCGCCGCCCTAGTACCACGGCTGCTTCGCACGGCCAAGAGCGAGAACCGTCCTGAGAGGCCCCCGCCAGTGTGATGCTGGGCATGCCAACGTGGCCCGGTGGCTCAGTGTGGTCTTCGAGCTGCTCAGCATCTTTGTCTTCATCCCAGGTTTTGGTTACGGCCCGCAGCTTGCCAATTCAACACGCAACAACAATAGTAGCTGGATGAGTGCACTTTACACTTTTTGGGATACTATATGAAACTGAAAGTGTACACTTTGGGGGGATTATGAACTCAGCAACTAAGACAACTACGTAGGTCCCAAAGAACCTGGCCCAGGAGGTGTCCTTGCTGCGGGCGCGCTTTGACTTGCGCGGCGCTGGCGTGTTTCTGACAGGGACGGGCTGGTATTGTTGAGTTGAGGGGCAACGACTTTTGCTTGGCCCTAAACCCTAAACCCTAGACCCTAAACCCTAAACCCCAAACACTAAACCAGGTTGGGCAACATATTCATCCGAGCATGAGAGCAAAGGGCCTTGATGGCCAGTATCAACGACTCCAAGCTTCCCAAGCTCCTCCCCCGACCCTAGAGAACCCAATAAGCTATGATGTCTTGGGAGTCCCCTGCTTTCTGTGCAAGAATTCTGACGGGGGGAGCCCTGAAATTGCGAGGATTTAAGTTGCTGGAAGCCAACACGTCTACGTTTTGAGGGCTTCTTGCACCCCACATTCCGGGATGACCCTGCCAGGCCTGGACGCCGAGCGCTTGCGGACGCAGAGCATGACCGAAGAGCCCGGGGCCCTTCTTATGGGGGGAGGCCAAGCCCTCCTCCTGCCCTCAACCATCAATTAGGGTTATCTAGGGCTTCAAGTTTCTTAGAAGGGGTTGATTTTTAGGATGGGGATGTGGGGACCCTGCGGTTGCAGGGAGGTTTCATGAGGATTTTAGGGGATCGGGTGCCGATGTGACCTGGAACCTCCATGGGTACTTGACCTTTCGGACAACCACATGTGGGGCCATTCAGTGGGGGAGAGAGCCACTTGTCCCTAACCACCCGAAACCCTAAAACCTCGCGCTCGGATTGCCGCTCTTCAGAGATAGCGCAGCAGAAACGCTCAACCCTGGACCCAACCCCCAACCCCCAACCCCCAACCCCCAACCCCCAACCCCCAACCCCCAACCCCCAACCCTCAACCCTCAACCCTCAACCCTCAACCCTCAACCCTCAACCCTCAACCCTCAACCCTCAACCCTCAACCCTCAACCCTCAACCCTCAACCCTCAACCCTCAACCCTCAACCCCCAACCCTCAACCCCCAACCCCCAACCCCCAACCCCCAACCCCCAACCCCCAACCCCCAACCCCCAGCCCTCCAAAACCCTCAACGCATCTCGCCTTTGGAGCGAACTTCCCCAACTTTTCGCAGAGTTTTCCCAAACAGGGCGCACATGCCTGGTGGGTTTCGGCCAAGGTTGCAAAGCGCTTGCAACGAAGCCATGCGGGCCGAGCAGTATGCGGCCTGAGAGCCGAGCCACACGTCGCTTTGTCTTGTGGGGTAGCACACACACAATCTCTCTCTATGTATAAGTAGAGGTTTTGTTATAGATATATTGTATTGTCTTATAGATTGTTCTTATTTCGTACTTCACACATGCACATATAATTGTATGCCTCTCTCTCTCTCTATGTATGTAAAATGCTTTCCATGCTTCTCCGAATGCTCGGGTCATAGTTGGCGTTCAGGGCGGTCACAATTTCGGACGTCCGTCTCCCACCCGGGATCGTGGCAAGAATTGACCCATGTTGGTTTCACCTGTCAAGCGTTGTGGGGGTTCGGCAAGTGACCTGTTTCATGTTTCGGCTGACACATATCTGGGTGCGCTGACTGTCAGGATTTGTCAAGCTCAAGCCAGTCAAAGGTGAAAAGTTCGCCATGGCAGGTAGGGCCAAAGATCGATCCTACATGCTTCAGGTGTTCGCTCTGTGCCTTGCCCTGCTCGCTGCAAGCTTGCAAGGCTGTGGCGGCTGTGATACGACCAAGGCTACCGAGTGCGTCTCCACCTGGGAGCAGTATGTTGTAGACAACCAAGCAGACATCATAGATGGTGCAGTGACGCGACCGTGCGCCGCACTGAAGGACATGGTCAATTGTATCAAAGAGAACAGTTGCTGCGGCGACTCCGAGATCAGCCAAAGCATGAATGCCGGCATCGACGCAATCTCGAAAAACGGAGGGTGCACAGGTGACAATGCGTTGCCAACCTGTGATTCTGATGCATGAGCCGAGAACCGAACTTTCTTCTGCACTCGGGTGTCAGAGGAGTAATGCCTCGCACCTGATAGTGCTAAAGTTTCACAAACCCCCGGAAAGTGCATTGTTATTGTGGCAAAAACCACCAGGCCTGTGGCAGGAACACCCATGTCACTGTTCGGCCGAACCCCTTCATGCGCATACTCTCCACGGAGAAATCGTTCTGGCAGATGCTGGTTTGGGTAGAACTACCAGCAGTGCCGTGATCGCGCTCCCAGTTTCTCGCTAGTTTAGTAAACGCCGGCCGTACTATCACTTACTGCTATTTACAGCTGTTACTTGGGGGTACATGTAAGTGGAGTGGGAGTGGTAGTGGTAGGGGGAGTGGGAGTGGGAGTGGTAGTGGTAGTGACCGTGGTGGTGACTGTGATCGTGGTAGCGGCAGTGGTAGGAGTAGGCGGTGGCAACCGCCGTCGCAGCAAGAACTTAACGATAAACTTCATCACTGGCACATAGGCGCCAGTTGGGGGTTTACGAAAATAAGGGCCCCCTTAATTTAGTCCCCCAAAAGTTCCCCAGAAGGTACCCTTAATTTCGGAAACCCCCCATATCCCTAAACCCCAAACCCGAAACCTGAAACGTAAACGCCTAAGTTCGGAAACCCCCAGCTCTTCGCCCAGGCCCATCGGCAGATAGAAGCCATGCCCGAGCCACAGCTTTTCCTGGATCTTGCTACGTCGGCTCGGGCTTCCGGTGGCAATTCTGCTTTGGGATGCTCCCCCTGACACTAGCAGTCGCTAATAGGGATTATTGGTCCCCCCCCCCCCCCCTTTTATAATCCCTAAGGGGCAACATCCCAAGTTCGGATCTTCAAGTCGAAAGGAGGGGGTTCCCGCGTGCGAGTGAGAGAGGAGCCGAAGCCAACCCACAACCACATTGTTTTGGGTCTACACCCAGGGCACCCTATTTTGAAAATAACCAGGGCTCAAGAAGCCCTAGGCCCTAAGCCCTAAACCCTGAAACCCCTTAATCCTAAACCCTATTTTGGAAATAGCCAGGGCTCAACAAGGGCAGCACAGCCGGGGATTCCCCTTTCGGCCTCGGAGGCGCGCGGAGTTTGCCGAGGATGTGACCAGACATCGCGCCGCGGAGGCCCCAGCGCGAGGAGGTTTAGGGTTTAGGGTTCAGAGTTTGGGGTTTAGGGTTGAAAGGTTTATGAAGGTTTTAGGGCAGACCCAGTCATGGCCCTGGAATTCTCCTCGGTCTGGCACGCGCAATTTTGGGATCCTCTTCTTGGTCCTTTTTTGTTCGCCTTTTCCGGTGCGTGTAGACTTCGCATGATTCTGGGAGTTCCCTGGGTGCTTCTTGCTTGCATACTGCCGCTTCGAAAGGCCGTTGCTTAGGATGGCTTCGCTCTTGGTGTCCCGGAAGTGCTGCGCGACAGTCGTGGTGCAACACCCGACTGCTGCATGCCCGCCAGGCATCGACTATCCGAGCTCTGTGGCTTGCTCAGGATCCGTCCCGCAAGGCCGCGTGTTTGGTTTCCAGATCTCAGAAATGAGGCACGGAGGAGAGTTTTAATTCAGAGTTCCGCAAGAGGCGAGCCGGGCGTCTCAATCTCCAAACATTCAGTTGTGAGACAGCGGCTGCTGTCGGCATGCAGCCCTTGATACCAAGCGCGTGTTTGTTGCCATCACTGATGCAATACAAGCATTTCGGCTCCTTTCAGTCCTTTGAGCGTTCAAGGCGCGCTCCGCATATCTTAGCAGGAAAACGGTCTTTAGGTCAACTAGACCTATCCCATGGGTGCTGAGGCAAGTACAGGTCGAGGAGCTACGGGCCCGATCCTGAGCAGAGCCAACTGCCCAAGTGAGTTTAGGGTACGGGGGCAACCGAAAGGGAACAGGGAAAGAAACCAACCCTCAACAGTCGCCTATATGGATTTCCCAGATCGAACCAGAAACAAGAACACCCACCCCTAAGGGGACAGGATAAGGGAGAAGGGACGACTACTCCAACCCGTTAAACCCAACCCCAGGCGTACGTACTTTTTCAACAAAAGCTGACGGCTCTTGGCCATCTTGAGCCATAAAGGGTTTCCGGGTACGTTGACCCTTCCAACACCCAACACTAACTCCTTTCTACAATACCAGTTGCAGCTCCGCACTCCCCCTGTCCTAGGATTTCCTAGGACACATTGGAGGTGCAGATCTTTTGGCCAAAAACTGCCATTAAGGCAGCAGCCAGCTGCTTGAAATGCACAATATGGTTTTACGTCATCCAGGACGAAATTATAGCTCATTGGCTAACCCACTAACCACAGAGAATCTTTTTCCACCATGATCCTCTTATCATTGAAGACTCTTCGGCCTTCTTCACCACAAACCGTGGTCTTCGCTACGCGAAAAACTACTGACTTCTACTATCAGGGATTTCCATACCCTTAATAGTAACCACCACATTGTCAGCACATTGGCTGTTCCAGCGCACCTGTCTCCAGAAAGAGAAAAACCATCCCTTCATCCATACCATCCAATCACTTCTTTTTCCGATTGTTGGCAATTCTGAGGTGAAGTTGCAGCAGAATATACTCCAGGTCCGAAACTGTAAGAACAGGATCCTGCACGCACCTTTGAATTGAGGATACCAATCCTTCTCTCTTTGCGTCCTCAATCGCTTGGCAAGATTGACCCAGCTCTGCATTCACAGTGGTAGACGCTGGTGCATCCACATCAGATGGACGATCCTTTTCCTCAGGACCTTGCACCATTACCACCTCTTCCTTTTTGGGACTCTGACTTTTCTCCTTCTTCTTCGTCTTTCCACCGACATTTGACTTTGTGCGCATTTTCGAGGCTTTTTCCCCTGCAGAAACCACCGCATTGGATGATGATCCACCCCTCTCAATGTTCGCCGGCATCTTCTTCGGCTTTGGAACCAGAAGAGTGTAAGGATCTTCGATAGCTGCAGCTTTCCTCTTCTTTTTGACCTTTTTCATCTCCTCCTCAACGGCAACCTCCGTCTCCGAAGTCTCAACCACTTCTTTTTCTGCAGGAATATCCTTGCTGGACTCCCTTTCTAGGGACCTCTTTTTGCCCCTTTTGGAATCTTTCTCTTCTCCCAAATTGGCTCGCTCGTACCATATCCTCAGGTCATTGACCCATTCTTCCACCTCCGCGAGCGAAACATCATACGACTTCACTACTTCGTGAAGTTCCAGCACGGACAGCATACCAGTGGTCCACGAAACCCATTCTCTATCCATCTGGTCAGTATCTCCATTGAACTTCAGGAGTTTGAACAAGGGTCCGCCTCTGCTCGAGCCAAATCTGGCTTGCCATTGGACAGAAATGAAATCGCCTCCATCAACAGTTCCGTCATTTTGGTATCATCGTCATAAACCATAAAATCCTCCTCACCATCATCGAACTGTTCAGGAGAGATCTCCTTTTCTCCACCTTTTGCACCAGAACTTCTCCTTGGACCATCCCTTGGGGGCGTCCTTGGAGACCTTGGCCTCTGTTCTTCCAGCGGATCACCATGCTCGAAGACACGCCTGTCACCATAACGACACTTCCCAGACTGAGCAAACTGGATGCACCTCACACCAGTTGCATCATGCGAGAACGCACACTCCTTTCCAGCGAAGCAGGGTCTCCCCGCCACATAGTATTTGCACCAATATGAATGCAGCACCACATCATCTTCTGAATGGATGAATTTGCAGTCTTCACCAAATTTGCAGCGATCTTTTCCCTTGCTGAACCAATAGCAGAAGCCTTTCTTCCTCTTCTCCAAGCGCTCTGCCTCGTACCGGTCCATAGGGCGATTCTGCTCTACATGAACATTGCCATGTGCCTGAGAACTGCTCCCTTCACCCAAGGTGCTATCAGTATTTGATGCTTGGAGTACAGCTGGAAAACCTGGCCTTGGTCCTACCACCTTCATGATTGGTTTTCCGCCAGCTCCTGAGCCATGCTGAGACGATCCAAAAACATTGAACATTTTCAGGAAGGCCTTTCTAGCGCCGATCTTCTGCACCCTTTTGATTGGACGTTTCATTGCTCCAACCTTGCATCCAGATGTGTTCAAACGACACAACCTCCTATACCCAGCTCTATATCCCTTCTTCCAAAGAGCCATAAGAATTTTAGAGGCAGTAACATTCTCCACCTCTACCTTTTCCAACGGTCCCTCACTTCCCGGAACAAACCCATCCAACCCATCCATATCTGAAGACCTTTCCATCTTTTTTGACACCACTTCGTCGAGGTAGTCTTCCGAGATCCAGGGTAAGTTCCTCTTAGAGGAAGGATTGTCACCATTGTTTGGTCCTTCACCAGGATACCCTTTTGTGCTGTCAAAGATCTTACCAGTAGTGCGGTCCTGCGTAGAGAAATTGGAAGCAACGCGGGAGTACACTGACCACAAGAAAATCCTTGTGTCCGCCAGTCTTGATGACCCACTGGATGTCTCCTCTTCCGGAGAAACTTCTGGCGCTTTGCCATCCCTTCCAGTGTCACCAATTGTCTCACCTCCAGCATCTTCAATGGGGATAAGGGATTCATTGTTCCCTTGATCAAGTACCGCAACCTCCGGTCCAAGAACTTCCAGCACCGCTGTCGAAGGATCCACTTCTTCATCAGCATCGTCGTCCATCCTTCTCCAGAGAACCTCCAATTGATCAGCGCAAGTCGCCGCCTGAAGGAACTCCATCAATTGAGCCCTCCCGCGCTGCCAGAGAAATTCCGAAATCATCACTGACCCTTGAGCTCCTGGGGTAAGGAAAGAATGAACCAATTTGGCTACCCTCGCCATAAGTTCAATGTGAACTTCCATGCCTGGACTGCGACTCCAATCATAGGCAATTGCCTCCATAGCAGTTCCAAACTTATCAGTATTTTTGAATTCCCCTTCCAGACCAGGAGATAGCAATGCACCCATCACCGAAAGAGGGTAATTTCCCACCGCCGGCAAGCACGGATTGTCATGGAACGAATGATGCAAATCACCATAATATCCTTGATCTC